AGTATGGGCTGTTACTGCACCGTCATTTAGTATTTCCTTTTGGAAGTACTAAAAGACAGTGCAGTAACAAAGGCACCATACGGCCATGTATAGACGCATCTTGTGTATCTGTCTCAAGGTGGAGTGACTTTTCCAGTTACAGGTGGAGCAAAGGGCAAAACAGCAGAAGGTTTGGTGATGTTTGCCTCCTGAGTCTCATTAATACTTCACTATATGCCTTTACATTCAGTCATGTCCTGTCCACTATCTTTTCCACCTGTTTCAGGGTGAAAGCTGGAGTCCTATACAAATTCATCTACCATTGCCCTGAAATGGAACTTAAATATATTGCACATTATAGGAAAACGAATAAATTATTCATTAAAATAAGAAAACAATAGTGGAATTAAACCATATAAGGCTCCCCCCACACTTTTTAAATCTATTTTGCAGAGGAGCTAGAGATGTGGAGCATAGGGGAGGTGTAGCAGATTTTATGCCACTGAAGAATGATGTTCCTTACTGGCTAGCTAAAAAGTTGGCAACTATGCCTTGTCCTCCTCTTCCACACCAAGTTAAAACTACATAGCTGGAAATACAACTAGGATCACAGAGATAACTACAGAAATGAAGGTACAAAATCCTTGATTTTGCTCATAGATTTATAAAAAGCCCTTACCTGAGTTATCTTTCATGAAAAAAATAATTAGTAAGATCATGTAGACATAGAAGTTTAAAGTATAATCTGCTGCATGACATTCTAATAGCAACACCATACAACTGATTAACTTCTGTTGTGTCATATGCTGACAGAATTTAGGATATTTCTCTGGGAGTACTCAGATAATTAGCAAACATTCACAATACACACCAACATCTGATTTCCATCACAACCTAGATGAGTGCCAACTTCCTAAAGAGGTTCTGCCTACAGTGTAGCTAAAAACAGTGTTATCTAACATGAACAGGTGTTTTTTTCTTTAGGCTGCTAAATCAAGCCACTCAGAAGTAGAGTGTAAACTATTTTATATAGAGATACTAGTGGAAAAGCTTTGTGCGGGTATATGTGTGATGTTGCCCTTGTATGATGAAACCACAAAGAATAAGGGAATGGCTGCAAGCAGTAGGGCTGTGTGAAGCTTTGGGTGCTGATTCAATTTGGAGATTTGGCCTGATTCAGCGGCCAAATCTCCAAATCTGAATCAAATTGGGAGACCAATAAAAAGGTCTGAATTGATTCAAAGCTCTCTGAATTGATTCGGAAAAGATTGTGACAGATTCAGAGATTCGGGTAGTTCCCGCTCACTGCCACAGGGTGCTGGACCTGGGCTCCGTGCCAGTAAGTAAGGGGTAGGGGGAGCGTGGGGCTGAAGGGGACCATGGCAGGACCCCAGCCAGACCCCGTCCTCTGCCTGCTCCCCCAACACTCCTGAGTGCCCCCAAACCCCTGCCCACTCTCCCACCCCTGTCAATAGCTGCCCTGCCCAGCCCCAGCATCTCAGCTCTTTAAAAAAGAAAAAAAGCCCCACACTCACTGGCTGCTGCAGTGGCCATTGGGGCTTCTGAGGCCTCATGGCATAGCCCCCTCCCATGCAGTGCGGGGCAGTGGAGGGCAGGGGGCATCACCCCCCACTTCGCAGGAGTCAGTGAGTGCAGGGCTTTAAAAAAAAACAGAGCCCCTCCATGCAGCACAGAGCATTGGGGTGCAGCAGGGATCATTCCTCTGCCTGGCAGCAGGTGGGTGCAGGGCTTTTTTCTTTTCTTTTCTTTTTTTTTTTTTTTAAGTGTTGGGACACTGGGGCCAGGTGGTGCAGCCATTGATGGGGCTGGGATGGGGCCAGTTTGATTCAGAGATTCGGCAGCAGCTGAATCTCTGAATCAGATTCGGCTGAATTGATTTGGGACAGTGATTTGAATTACCAAATTGAATCACTGTCCCCCGAATCAGCCAAATCTGAAGCGAATACTAGCCACTTTGCACAGGCCTAGCAAGCAGTAATGCGATCGATTTCAGCTTGTGCATGTTTGGAACTGAAGGATAAGGATGCTAAGAGGCAGTTCCTAATGGGTGTTTGTGATTTGTCTTGTAATCTGAAACAAGACAATCAATCCCTATTTGGGTTGGGAAAAGCTTGGTAGATGAGCTGCAGAGATTTTCAGCCTTCCAACATTTTCAACCATATGTACAGGCCCCCAAAGTTGTTACAGACTCATTTAAGTTTTCCTCTAGATTCGGTTCTAAAATTCAAATACACAAGATTTGATATATGTACCAAAAATAGCAGCAGTTTCAGTAATTTCTTGGAAATTTGCCTGGAGCTGAACATATCCCAAAGGACTAAAGTCAATGGGAGATTTGCTTGAATGAGAACCAAGTACAGTAAGAACTGTAAGATTCAGCTTACACATTTCACGCTAAATACACTTGTTATAAATAATGATTCACAACTTCTTCCCTAGCCAATTATACAGTTTTTGTTATATGATATCAATGTTGACTGCCTTATAAAAGGTCTATACATATAGGTTAATGTTATTTTATCAATAAAGTTGTTAGACACTTAGATCCTGAGGTCATGAATTAAATTTAAAACGAATGAATAAACAAGTATATTTGCTCTTCAGTCCTCTCTTTTTTAACATGAGAGTTTTTACATTGAAAAGGGGTCTTAGCATTTTGATAAGGATGAGCTACTTTTGCCCCCTAATTTCAACCTAACTGCTCCACTGTTCAGTACAAAAGTTAGAGCTCTCATGTGCAAATTACCATTGGTTAAAAGAGATGAAAATACAACAGGGCTGTATATGTTATGTACGCCAGACAAATCTGAAGGAAATTACTTTATGTTGTTTCTAGCCAATAAAGCGCAAACATTAGCTCTGCAAGGCTTATTTACATATCTCCATAGGTAAACATTAACTCTTGGGTCTCAATGTACAAATTATAACAAGTACCTACATATTGAACTAATATATATATGAAGGCTAGCAGCATTCTTAGTCACATTCCTGAATGCTGTGATTTCATCTTCATCTAAATATTTTTATATCACCTGTTAGTGAAGTCATTGTCAATTCCATGAATCTTTTCAGCTGTTATAACACTACTACTATTTCCACCAATTATCTGGTCCACTTCTTTTTCTGACTCTAATGGACGAGTGGTTCTTGATCAATTCATTTTACTGAATCTGACAAGGATCTTCTCACCTAGTGCCAATCATTCTTTAAAAACATTTGTTTTTGAAGACAGTTTCCTGTTTCGACAGATAATCTGTCCTTGCTTATAATTCATATCCATTGATATGGGTCATTCTGACATTGGGTCTATAAATCAACCTTTTTCAGCATGAATTTCTCGCCATCTCCAGATTGCTCTGCTGAGGTCATTAAAGGTTGCAGCTGCCAGTGCTATTTATCTTCTGTCTTTGTTCTCACCTCTACCTTTTCCATCAGTTTTATTTCCCAGGCAAATATCCTTTCAATTATTTCAATAGGTCATCTACTTAGCAATGGAGATCTAATTCACTACCTTTTGTTGTCAATGTAAGTGATAACATGAGTTCTGGGTTCTGTGCATCTGTGGCTCCTTCACTTCAGTCTCACTGTTCAACTCAATACAAAATGCAAGCAGTGACAAATTTGGTAGATTGAAAGAGGCTCCCACAGATCAAAACATCCAGCCAAAAATTACAGGTAAATAAGTAATTATAAATACTTCAGATTTATTTTGCCAAACCCTAATATTAAACTTTTAAAAATTTGATTCCTTGGCAGTTTTAAAGGAATGTTGGAAAAGTTGACCTGTTCCTTTTGTCCAGAATGTCCTGTCCTGCTGATAACAATAATTATGGACACATGGAGTATCGCAAACTTTCTGTAAGGAAATGTTTGCCCTGTATACATGGGTAGTCTAATCAGACCATGTTTCTCTTGCTCCTTCTGCCTTTTTCATCATGCTCATCTGGGCTAGGGACAGACATTACACATAAACTGGTTTAAGTGCTCAGAAACTGGTTTAAACCATAACAGAACAGACAAATATAATCATTATGTTTAGTGCACATAAAACAGTTTGAAAATGGCTGAAACCGGTTTCAGATAAACCTGGCTGAAAGTAGTATCAGACTTCAAAGATTTGGGTCAAACCAGTTTATGCAATGTCTTTCCCAGACCCTTTGCTGGTTTAAGCTAAACCAGCCCAGCATCCCGGCATGCTCTATGGCTGGGCGGGACTCTCTGCTCCATAGCAGGGCTGGCCCCTCCTCTCTGCTCCCTGGCTGCAGCTCTGGCATAGACTTTCAGGCACAGCAGGGGCTGTTGGCTTCCCTGTTCCTCCCTCCTCCCACTCCCCCCCCAACCACTCGCTGCTTAAGCAGAGATCCCTATCTTCTCTCTCCCACAGCACAGACTCTAGCCAGCATGTGGTATGCTAGCTACTGCTGTGTAAGTCAGATAGAACAGTGTCTACTTAGGGCTTTTTGGAGGTAATCAACAGCTCAGATGGTAATGTCCCTGCATTCCTTCCTTTGAGAAAGGCAGATAAGGTTCTTTGGGTAAATCTGATATCTTTTATTAGACCAACGAAATAGTTGGGGGAAAAAATTCTTAGCAAGCTTCTGGGTTTAAAAACCCTTCATCAGGCTGAGAAATAATCTGCAATTGGTTTGTGCTCTTCCTGGATGGAATGAATAGTAAAGAAGCCAGAGTCTGGTATGCATTTTCCTTTGGAAAAAGCTGCTTAAGAAGAGCTTGTAATGAATGAGGCTTTGTTTTCTGATGGAGTGTTGAATGCCGATAATACAGCTGATAAATGCTCTTTTACCAAGGGGGGAGGGGACCGCCATAATCACAGTGTCCTGCTGGGACCTGGCCACACCCACCTCAGCTCAGCCCTGTGCAAGAGAAGGGAGGGCTGCTCTAGCATTCTCTGGTTTCTAGCCTCAGCTACTACAGGCATGTGCCTGCATTTCTCAGATGTCTCCCTGGTTACAAAACTGATTTAGCCTAGCCAGGTTAGACTAACCTGCAAAGATTGAATCAATACAGGCTCAGGCATTTTGAATGTCTGTCCCTAGCCTTACTGAGGCTTAGACAGAGTAAGCACTGGTGAAAATCATTGTCTAGTATTTTCTCAATCAAATGTTAGTCTTTATATGCAGTTCACTCAGCCACATCTGAGGCCTCTCGTTCCCTTCCCGTGTGTAAGGATAAAGGTTTAATAGGTGACCTTCTATATCTTATGATACTATACAGAATTAATATAAAATGGGGAGGTTTTAGATCCATAGGTGAGCGACCAGGTGACAGTGTTGTCTAAAATCAGGGTCTGTATTTTGCATAAAGGAGTCAAGACATCTTCACAGGGACCTACATCAACATGAAGGAGATAGCTGTAGTTAGAACCCTTGGTACCAGAGGATAGCTACCTCATTTCCTTCCCATTTTATCCCTGTCCAGCAAAATGGGAGTTCTTGGTGCTGTGTTTTAGAACAGTGACTGAAGTAGCCTTGAGTGTAATATATGCCATATACTAACTAATAATTCATGCAGTTTTGGCTGTCCTAAGTTTAAACACAGAGCTGAAGTATCATAGATATCTAAGCTTAATAACTGTTGGTAATTGTTAACCTTTTAGTAGTGACTCTTCTGATTGCTCTAATTTGTAAATAGGATCCATTTTTATCTTTCAATATATTTCCTTATAATTTCATAAACTGTACAACTGCTTATGAATGACTTCACAGAAAATGTTGCTTATTTAACTTAGCACACTTAATACACTTATATGAATTTATAATATTTGGTTACTGTATTATCTGTCTTAAAAAAAATCTTATTTTTACAGTTTAATATTTGCCTCTCACAAGTTGAAATAGTCCAATGTATAGGGATAGAAAGAAGGGGCTTTATTCTCATACTGGCAAAAGTTTATATACCTTAAGTGAAATTTTCCCATCAGTGGCAAACTCCTATAGATTCGAAACAGACTAAGAGTGCATTCCTAATTCTTTGCTGAAGAAGATTTAGTAGCTTTTAAGATGAATCCCTGTTTACCTTTGATTTAATTAATTCCCAGTATGTACCCATGTACTTCATGGGTATAGTTTTTAAGCTAATTTCCTTCTGCTATTTTTAGCTCCACAAAGCTGTATCATTCAGCAGCTGATTAGCTTGGTTAGAGCATGATGCAGGTTCAATCCCTGGTTAGACTAGATGAGTTCTCACAGTCCTTGCTTTACTTCTCTACAAGAAGTTTGCTCTAATGTTGGAGACTTCTGTATGTTTGTCTCACTTCTTACTCTTTCATCCACCAGTCATTTATCATCATTGTGTTTCTTCCAGATGATGTATATTCTATAAAAATACTGTAGTGTTTTTATTTGCTGCTTTCTAGCCATACTTTCTGAGTAAACTTTAAGGGTATTTATTTAGCTGATCTATACTGGTTTGGAGAATACACTTTTAAAAAATTTCCTTCTATGAACAGTATGTTTATGTAAAGAAAAATCCAAACAGTGCATATATTTGATCTACATATTATTTGTGCTGTATTGCAAATCATTATGGATTCTTGTGCATTTCTTGAGAATGTTCACATTCATATGTTGATATTTTATTTTTAAATCGTTTACAACAAATTCAATATATGGTAATGTCCTTGATTTGCATCATATCTTTACCAACTTAATTAATTCATATTTATAAAAAAGCTTTTAGATCCTCAGATGAAAGGCTCATTTTATTATCTTATAAACAGTGTCCCAGTTGTACTGTAGTGTGTATTCCTGAATGGCATTTTGCTTTGAAGTCTTTAAGCTAAACAAGAAAGTCATGGCTTAGGGATGATTTTGACAACTGATTGTAGTTTTTGATAAAACTCTTCCTACTCTTTTCCATCTGCTCACTCTGTGAGAACATAAGTCTCAGTGATCTTCATTATTCTTGATTCATATTTTATTTAGGACAAAATTAGCTTGTCACTCACTTAAGTCACTGACTTCCCTGGTAATGCCCTTCATTGTAACCACAGCAACCTTGCTGATGTAGCATAGCTTATTTCAACTGATCTATGCAGTGATCTTTGATGTTGTCTTTCTGCAAAGATGTTCAACTCCCTGTACTAATTCTTTAGATTTCTATGCATGATTCTTCATCTATATTGAGTAAAAACAAGCTCATATTTTCTGTCAGTCTTAAAATACTCCCATGCCAATACATGGATATTTATAATTTAACTATGGCTCTAGGAACTCCCTTTTCCCATGATCACTTTAACCACAGGATAGAGGCTATTTAGTAAGAATATACATTCACTATGTAATTAAAGTAACTTGATGATGGACAGCTCAGCTCCAATTGAGAAGTTTGTGTTTGGACAGAGTCTGAGTTGTAGCAACTTTACAGATTCTTCTAGTCAGCTCAACATACAAGTTATGGTGGCACATACTCAGCTCAGAATTTGTTCATATGAATGTTTAACTTATCTTCCAATATAGAGGTATTATAATGGAATTACCTACATTAGTTTAAGGCTATAAAACTAAGGGTGGATCATTTTCTGAATTTAGTCCAATCATGGTATCAGATGAAGTAGGTTCTTGCCTGTGAAGGTTCATGCCTGTTGGAACCAGTTAGTCTCTTAGGTACACACATTCCATTTTTACTGGTATAAGTGATTGGAAATTGGTCTAAACTCATAACAGAGCAGACGTTCAGTACATATAGACTGATTAAAAATGGTGGAACCAAGTCTAAGATAGGCAGCCTGCATGCCCCTCCCTACTAAAGGGTGCATGTGTGTTTTGTTTGCTACCAGTCTAAACTATGCCGCCTATAAAAAACGGTTTAACTTAGATTGATTCTGTGTTGGGCTTTTTGCATGTCTGTACCTAGCCTTTGGTACCACCATTCAGACTAATGTAGCTAACCATTTCAGAATTCAGTTTGAAAACTTTCACAAAAATATTACCTCTAGTCATCTCTCACATGTACAGATCTTTGATGAAAAAGAATATACAATTTACTTGAAGACTTACCAGCCCCACCATTCTTGAGGATATTTATTTCCCTCTTCCAGGATGTTTCTGGAGCGCCTCCAATGCCAACAAAAGAGGATTGGGAGAGAATAAGAGGAGAGAAGATGCTGAGCAAAATATCACTCACTGGCAGTTTTTGATAACATTTCAAAATACTTTGACTTCCCTAGTACCTGTGGTGAAGTAATGTATGCCTGTAGATGTATTCTTGGATATTTGGATGAAGTACTCAATATATAGCAGGTGACAGTTACGAGTTATTATTATTATATTATTATTACTATTATTATTATTTTACTATGGAAATTTTACTGAGCTATATTTATACAACCTAGCTCCATATAGCCTGACTTCACCTTGTAGCCTACTATCTCCTCTTAAAATAAAATAAAATAAAAAATGTTTTTTTATAAGGTGCTCTGGATCAAGGGCTATAACTAGTCATAACAGTTCCTTCAGAGCAAATGTATAGCTCACATTTAATATCCCAAATGAGACAGGAACATTTGTAGGAACATTTTTCATAAGCAAAAAGGTTTGAACCTTTAATACAGACTTTTAAAACTTGCACACTTTGGTTTTTGGCTGCTCTGTAATGAAAGTTATGGTCAATAAATATCCCAGGCCAGATTACACTGATCTTAGAAATGCCAGTGATCTAGGAAAAACTCACCTGTGCACAGAAATTATACAAGTACTACTTGGGAAGGTACCAGTTATTCACACTTTGGATCAGGTTCTGATTTAATTTGTCCCAAAATAAATCTAGGACAATTTCAGTGACTTCACTGGAGATGAACCAGAGTTTCACTATTGTAAATGCAATTGGTTCCCATTTGAAGTCACCAACATATATAGATTTCAATCAAAGTAGGTAAGAAAGCATATGCATATTTTGCTTAATATCTGTTAAATGTTATGCATTTCCACAGTTGAACCACTATATTAATCAGAAAAGCTGACATTTCAGGTCACAAAATATCCAAGAGATGATTTAGGTTGATAAATACTTTTGTTTAACCATATGAAATTTAAATAACAATGGATTTATCCTGGAACAAATATAAAGGTTATTACTTGTGGCAGAGGGAGTTTACAGGATAGTGGTCTCCGAATGTCTCTTAGTGCATCGTTAATTAAGTAAGTTGCTCTGGCCAATAAACTGTGTAAAGCATACCAGCTCCACTCTACTGAAATCAGTGGTGAAGGACTGGGTCCTTACTGTATCTTGGTCAGCTGGCATGGAAGAAAAGAGCAATAGAGTGTGTAGGACCTCTTTCTGATTCTCAGACAAGGCGTAATTCAGTGTCATAGTTCTAGCACCATTAAGAAAAATCTCTGAAGGGGGTATTGTTAATCTAGAAAATGGGGATTTCTGTTCTTCATCATCTGCAAACTCCCCTCTTTTCAAAACATTCCTTAGAATCCCCCTCACTGGTGTGAAGAGGCTTCCCCTGCCTCTACAGAGAAAAGGGAAAGGGATCTGAAAAACTTACTGGGACCAACAAGAAGCCAGATTGATGGAAGCAGAAATAGAGCTGCCAGAACGCTGTTTCAGAAGTTACTGCTCCTTCCAGTTTGGCATCTCTGGAGCTTTATGCCCTTCTTGGGAGAAAAAACCTGCAGGAGAGGAGAGGGAGAATGAAGGATGCAAGCAAGCCAGTGGTACGGACGGGAGTGCAGGGAAGAGTGACAGAGACTCCAGAGGCGGGGAAGAAGATTGAGTTTCAGTCTAAGAGCTCAGAGGAGCTCTAACTGCTGAGAGGGCATGCTACAGGGTCCATCTACAGTGAATGCCAGATTGTGGAGATGGAGGAATCTGCTGAAAGCAGTTCAACGGGGAACAGGTTGTTTTTTTCCCTATTGTTTCTTTTGTGTCTGGGATATTAATATATCATTGCAAGTGAAAGGACTGATTGAAGTCAAACTCACTAAAGAGAGGGAAGACTCAAGGAGATAAAGGATAGTGGGCAGCTGTGAGCAAATACACTGCTCACCCTTGGAGTAGATATTTTTCTTTAGCTGTGATTGAAGTTGGGCATACTGGTGGGGCTTTTCCAGCAAGGAGTATTCCAGAGGCCACAGGGAAAGAAACTTGCATCTAAAACCAAAAAAAGAAGAAATAAGAAAACAGAAAGTGCTTAGGGTCCCGGGAATCTGGGTTTTGTTCAGTGCTTACCTGGGCAGTGTTGTTTTGTGACAGTTACAGTTCTCTCATTCATTATAGCAATGAGATCTTCTTCTGGGTCCACCTGGACATCTTCCATCTGAAAAATAACACCAAAGGAGATTCTGAGCCAAGGAAAAGAGAAGACCAATGAAGAAATAGAATATTTGTTGGTGGCTGATATGTGTGGTTGATATGTGCTGCAATATAAAAACATCTGATTGGTGTTCAGCTAGGGTGTAAGGGGAGGTTGGAGCCCCAGGTCAAATAAACTTTATATATCCTTAAAGTAAACTCTCAGCAAGGGAACACCTCCTGGTACCTATAAGTTACAACAAGACGTGGCAGGAGAGGACTGGGTGATTACTGCTATCAAATTCTGCAAGGATAAATTCTGACTCATTGCAAGGCACAGACCAGTCAGGTGCAAGATATACAGAGATGTGACAGGGGGCAGCTCTCAGGGCCAGGTCTCATGCCAGCCTGCCCACCTGTCTATGGGGCAGTCTGCCCAGTCCCTCTGCCACAACATTGCTATTCTCAAAATGTGTGGTAAAATGCAGGAGACTGCCCATTACATGCCCTGATGCTAGGGGGCATTATCTCTGGCTCCAAACCTCCCCTACACTGCAAACTATGCCTCGCAAATGGCATCCACGGTGACATTATGCTCATGGCCTAGAGCCGGACCAAGCTTAGCCCTCACTGTCAAGCCTCTTTCATACACACATTCACTCCACCCTCCTCTCATAAGGACCTCTTCCACTCCACCCCCTCTCACAGGATCTCTTTCTCCCATTGACAACTTGTCCCCCCCTACTCCCTCTTGGAGTGCTCCCATAGGCCATAGGCTTTATCTGGATCACACCTTGGGTGGCAGACATACAGTCTCTTGAGCTTCTCCTGTGACCCTTACCTGGGTAGTAGTGGCCAGCCAAGTTCCTGACCTGGGCCAAGCTTGCCCTGACCCCTCTTGGGGCAGCTTTACATAAACATACATAAGCACACGCTGGGCCCACTGCCCCACACACTGGGCTCCCAGCCCTCTGTTTCCCCTTTCTGGGGCTCTACACTTCTCTCAAATTGCTCTCCAGGGGCTTAGCCCATGTGCTGCCCTTCAGGCTGTCCCACATCCCTACTCAGCATGCCCCCTCTGGGCTGCCCTTCAGGTTGACTCTCAGCCCTACTCAAGGCACTTCCAGACCCTCACTACTACCCTCTCTCTGGGATTACACATCTACCCCCTCCTTTGGGGCTCCAAGGTTTACCTCCCCTGTGGAGGCTCAGGTGGTCACAGCTGTGCCTGGCCCTGCCTGGGTCTTACACCCTCTTTGGGTTCAGGTGGTGGTAGCTGTGCCAGGTCCTCTTGTACAGACAGTGTTGTGGAGGCTAGGGGTTAAGGCATCCTGACTCACCTTTCACTGGGGTGGTAACTGGCCTGGCATCTCCTGAGGACTCCTGCATTACCAGGAGCCCTACCAGGCCACTGATCCCCAACAGGGTGCAGTTTTAGGTCATGCCCAGAACCAAGAGCCTCGTAGCCATCCTCATAAGCTCTTGCCCTTACCTCCTGGTTGTTCCTGCTGCAACTCAGCTAGGTGATGTTTCTGCCTTCACTGACAGCAGCAAACTGCTGTATTTATATAGGCAGCCAGTGTTTTAAAATGGCTGCCACAATCAAGCACCTGCTGGCTGCACAACTCAGCCCTTGAAGTGGTAGGCACTGCAAGTATTCTGCCACAAGAGACTTTGATTCTATCCTGCACCCACTGACAATCTGAAGTAGGAAGCCCCAGCTCAGAAGATTCATCCAGTTTCCACCCTCTTCGGAAAATGATGATCAAATGATCTAAAAAGAAAAACGGAAAAGTTCTGCACTTCAGGCAGCAGCAGTGCATGGGGCAGGAACTGCAGCTATTATTGTGCCCCCCACACTTAAGAAGGTGCTCGGTGGCACCCCTCCCTGCACCTAATTACAATACCGAACACAAGTTTCCCATGGGCACACATGGCTATTATTATATTGAAACTGGTGAAGCAAGGTCAATATCCAGAATTCTCCACCTGTCTAAACTCATGAGGTTCCCTTGACTGAACCCTTGCTTTACCTTATTTTTTCTAAGTCATTAAAATATTACCCATCTAATTAAGAGTAATGATTTATTTACTTATATTTTCCATATATAGTTATTATTATTTCTCTAATTATGGAAATATATAGTTATCTGGGTCTTGCAAGTAAACTATTAACTGAAATTTACATTAGATAAAATAATTATCTGTGTATAGTGACATTATATTATAAAAAATCCTAATAAAATAACCTCTAATTATAAATCCAAATCTTAAATTATTTTTTGAAACTCATGTTGACATTTAGATAGATTACAATAAAAGCAAATTATTATACATTTAATAAACATAGTACTTGAAGAAAGGCATAATGACAGACTGATGGCTAACAACACTGTATAATTCCTCATAACAGTTAACTGACAATTGAATTTTTAAAATACCAAAATAATTCACCATGATTAACATTAGAAGGAAATCTAAAGGCAATTATGACTAATTGCACATTTTTGCAAATATTAAGTCTACTGATTGCAGTCCTAAAATAGGTTAAGCATTTGCCCCCCTAGACTTCACTATTTCCTAAACAGATGACATGGAAATTAAACAATTATACTTGAAAGGCACATTGCTTGTTCATATATATGACACAGAACAGATTACCCAGAGAGGTAGTGGACTCTTCCTCCCCGGAGTTTTTTAAGACTCAGCTAGACAGCTTTGGCTGGGATGCTCTAGTTTGGGATGGTCGTGCATTGAGCAGGGGTTTGGACCAGATGACCTCCTGACGTCCCTTCTACCCCTAATTTTCTATGATTCTATGTGGAGTAACAAGGTAATGCATTGTTCTTTTAGTATTAATTTAATCAAAATACTTAGCATTGTCACTATTGAGTATTGCTTACACCACAATACATTGCAAACCCTTAACCAGCTCTCAGAGAAATATTTAAAATAAATGTAAAAATTAAACCATGAGTGAGAACTGGATTCAAATAATAGGATCTGGCTTGTTAGTTTTCAGGAACTATAAAATTTGCATGCTAAAATCCAGAAAGGTATCAGTGATTATCTTCAGGTGCTAGCTTGTGCTCAGAGCTTAAAATACTAATAAGACAAGACAGTTCCTGCCCCCAAAGAATTTGCTGTCTGTAGCCCTGCTCCTGCAGTGACATCTTTTAAGAGGTCCTGGGTACCTGTGCTGACATCACTGAGGCACTATGTCAGCCCACGGGCAGGATCAAGGCCGAGGTGAGACAACAGTTTAAAATAACAGCTGAGAAATAGGAAGAAAAAAAGAGATAAAGGTTATAATAAAGTCACATGGTTACTCAGGTATAGTATATATACTCAGGGTGAGATTCTGTGCCCTACATCTAAGCGGTGCAACACAGAACAACAAGCCCAAGAGCTGGTGGTCAGTAGCGTAACTAGGGGTGGGTGAGCAGAACACCAACCCTGGGCACCAACTTAGGAGGGGAACCAAAATTGTCCCCCACCCCATGATGTCCATGCTCCAGCATCAAGAGTGGCCCCACTGTGTTGCTCTTGCCACAGCAGCAGTCAGCGCCTGGACACCGTGCTGATGTTACTGCTTTCAGAGCTAGAGCCAGGGTGGACAGAGCACACGATGGAAACAGCAGCATAGCCAGGGACTGTTTTGGGGTTCCTAGCATGGGTAAGACCCTTGTGCTTTCCTTCTGCTCCTGCTCTTAGAACTATGTGTGTCCCCCCAACCCCACGTTACCCCTCAGGGTTTGCCAAGCGTGCTGCTGAATTGGCCAGGTCTTCCCAATCCTGCACCTGGAGAAGTTCCCAGCAAAATATAGACAGCCCTCATTCTATCTGAAGTAGGTGGTATCTCATCTTGATCTTTCCCTACATTTAAATAAAGTGCTTATGTATTTATCCATTTCCCTGACCATTTCATTCCCTGCTATTGCAAGCTAATTTACCTTCTATAATACTACATTCTACTAGTAAAAATATGATACTAGATGTACTCCTACTTGGATTCACTCAAAATAAGATAACCACATGTGATTAATTCAATTGCTTTCAACAGAACATGTGTACAGTACACATCTGAGTCAGATATACTGGTAAGATTTTGATAGAGATCTCTCAATTTAATATGGCTCTACTGCATCAAAGAGCAGTGTAAAATTAGTTGCACAGGGTAAAACTAAATAATCTGTCTGCACTTACCAGAGGCTTTACCATGCAGAAACAACTAAACTATATGCATTGCTGGATACAATAATACATATGCACTAGACGAGAAGGGGATCTGGTTTATTTTGCTGCCTTTCATACTTATGGTATTCTATAGCATCGGTCACAGGAAAGGTTTCGAAAACTCAGTAGTCTTATGGACTAGTGATGGCTCACATGGACTTAAATGACAGAACCTATTCCACCGAGAGAAGGAATACTGACCCAGGCAGATATTTTTTTCCTACTTGCTCATTTCAAAAGTACCCTGGAAGGTTTAATGCTTTCCTGGGCAATGAGAAGAGATGACCGGAGGGATATGGGGTTAAATATATGACACACCAGATGGCAGCACTAACATAAATATTTCCATTTTCAACAAACCTTGCCCTGCTCTACCTATCTTTGCATTACAGCACTGGCTCTGGGGATGAGGCTAACCTAGTTATTTACTATTATCTTGTTGATTCTCAAGTCTTTCCCACAATACCACTGTCATATTCTTGTGCTGTTCACATCACTCCCTCCTATTACTTTCTCCATTTCTTTTACTTCATCTGAAACATACAATGAAAGAACTTTATCCTCAGCTAAAAAGACATACACCGTTTTGGTACATTTACTGTGCTTCCTTCTGTTATAGCCTTCTCCTCCACCTCCCAGCCTTTCCTAACCATTGCACCATACTGTTTCCTTAGGGTCCAATTGTGAAATTTGTACAAAGCCCTAGGTACAATGATGATGCTGTATTTTGGAGTGGGGAGAAGGCTTTGAAAGACACTGCATCTCAGGAAATTGTTTGGAGTAAAAAGCCATCTTTAGGTGACTGGAATTTTCCCATTGAAACAGGTTCCCATAAAAACAGAAGATACTCACTTGTCAAAGCCA